TTTATTCATAAATCATTTCTACCAGAGTTCACACAAGAAATACGGCCTTCGTGAAAATCCTGTTTACTCGTGTGTGCAGCTCTACTCATAAGGAGCAGAACTAATATCATCATATAAACCACATACACTGCGCCGAGTCACTGCACTTTCTGTACAGAATACACGGTCAAGTTTGTGTAACACGGTCAAGTTTGTGTAAGACTTTTGTGTTTTCAGTTACACAAAATTAATGAAACTTTTGTGAAACCCAGCCGTTTCACATTGATAGCATTAATAATATGAAAAAACAAAGGAAGCAAGACAACATAAACCCATAAACGAGTGCAGTTAAGCATGAGGACGGACTCAGTGGGTGTGTAAGTCGGTTCCGTCTGCCGCAGCGTCTTCTTTTAATGCAGCAGCACTTTATTAGAGCTGATAAGTGACCGATCTGGTATGTCTCAAGCTGCAGAGTGCCGTACACTCCCCAGTGTGCTGCGTGATGTCCTACACGCCCTTCTGCTTTTCCATCAGCGAGGACGCCAGGGATTTCACTGCACTCTGAAGAAAAATAACAGTTTCTCCGTGTGATGTGCTCAGTGTCCACGACCATCTGACCTTTTTTTCTGTTTTCATCTCAAACCATTTTTTTCACCTCCCTTAATTCACCCCTAAGATACCTTTTCCATAATCTGGCTCCAGATTGTGGTCTTTCAGTTACTTTAATTAACAGTATATATATTTCATTGGCATAGACGTGAGCGGTCCCTGCAGGACTAGTGGTTAGGCCACGGCGCTCCCGCCACTGCGGCTGGGCTTCGATTCCCGGCCAGAGAACCGACCAGCACACAGCGGTGCTCTCCCAGTGCCGGTCCCAAGCCCGGATAAACCCGCGGACGGCTGCGTCAGGAAGGACATCCGGCATAAAAACCGTGCCAAATCAGTATACCAACGATCTGCTGTAACGACCCCTAACGGGAGCAGCGGAGAGAGGAACAACATCAGCACGTGAATCACAGTGACATTCACTGAGAAAGTCTATCTGTTTTATAAAATACACGTTTATTAACAGATTGATAAATCAGGCCTCAGGTGAGGATGTAAGGGTTCAGTGATGCCCTCCTTCACTGACAGCTGCCTAAATCACTCTCCCAAATCATACACTCATCTATACACTCATCTATACATCACTCATCTATACACTCATCTATACATCCATCTATACATCACTCATCTATACACTCATCTATACACTCATCTATACATCACTCATCTATACATCACTCATCTATACACTCATCTATACATCACTCATCTATACATCACTCATCTATACACTCATCTATACATCCATCTATACATCACTCATCTATACACTCATCTATTCATCACTCATCTATACACTCATCTATACATCCATCTATACATCACTCATCTATACACTCATCTATACATCCATCTATACATCACTCATCTATACACTCATCTATACACTCATCTATACATCCATCTATACACCCATCTATACATCACTCATCTATACATCACTCATCTATACACTCATCTATACACTCATCTATACACTCATCTATTCATCACTCATCTATACACTCATCTATACACTCATCTATACACTCA